TAAAGGGCTAAAACCATCAAACTTGGTAAGATAAAGGGTTAGAACCAGGTTTTTGCCCAATTATTAGGCAACGTAATAAACACTGCTGAATTGCGGGCCTGGGGCCACCACAGGAAGTCAATAACGGGGGTCCGAAAAGGAAAGCTTACCCAATCAAAATGTGTTTCGTGATGTTTAAAAATTATCTTTTTAAAAGATATTATTTTTAAAAGGATATTCATTAATAAAAAATATTTAAAATTAATTTTTAAGTAATTTTTAAATAAAATTTTAAAAAATTACATATTTATATTGTTTTAAAACTTATTTAAAATCTTCTATAACAAAAATTATTTGAAATTTATCTTAAAAGATGATTTTAAAATTTTCTTTTCATATAACTAATTGATACCTTGGGCAAGTGAAATAAGAAATTATATATTTAAAATTTTAATATAAAATTGATATATTAATAAAAAATTAATAAAATTGGATTACCGTAAGAGAATACATGCATAATGGTTTTAAAAATTAAAATCCAAAATATGACATTGTTATTGCCTCAAAATAAGTATTAAGGTGATAAATGTATTTTTTAATTAAATAATAGATTGTTTAAGAAACCCAAGCATACCCTTGATTAAGTAAAATTTGTTAAATAATCTCATATATTTTTTAAAGTAATAAAGAAGTCATATAAATGATGAGTTTATATTGGTTAACATTATCTATATTATAACTTAAAATTTTAAATCATCTATTCACACTAAATATAATATTTATTAATAGTTTAGTTGAAGATATGACCCAAAAATATTGAAATTGACAAAGTAAATATAACATTGAATATCTTTTATTAGTCTATTAAAAAAGTTAATAAACCCAAAACCTATAACAAAAATATATTGAAATAAACAAAATCCATGTAACGTTGAATAGCTTTCATACATCTAACTGATTTTAATTTAATTCAAGATTTTAAAAAGTAATTTATTTAAGTTATAGTGTAAATATATAATATAAACATAAAATAATTTTTTTTAATTTTATTTTAAAAAATAAAGTGCATATTAATCTGGACTT